TTTTTTTTTTTTTTTTTTTTTTTTGGTACCCGGGATCAAACTTGGGTCCTTGCATTTGTGAGGCAGGCGGCAGCAACACTGAGCTAAATCTCCGGCCCCCAGCATCAGTCTTAATCCCAGTATCACATACCCTAATCCAGCTACCTTCAAAACTCACCACCTATGATCTCATGAAGCTTTTATGGGGACATCTAGGCACAAACCATACACACATGATACCCTTTGTGCCCTTGAGCAAGTTACTTTCTAACCCTTAGTTTTTACAGGCAGGTATTGTTTCTCAAGTTATGTGTGATTATAAGAAGTTTTTAATGTGCAAATACTTGAAACAGGGTGGTCCCTATTCAGTGCTTGGTGTATGTTGGTTACTTGACTGTTGTTGTTATTAATAACTGTAATATGTGCTATAAAGGAAGAGTGGTCAGAGTCATCCTCAGAAACGGGGGGAGAATTAAATCAGGTTACCAAAGAAGTCTCCCCATGACTTAAGAGAGGCAGAATGCTGTCAAGAATGCCAGGGAGAGCAGGACACAGGAAGCACTAGGGACTGTTTGAAGAGCCTGGGATTGGTTGGCTCAGGCTGGGTGGGGATGGGAGTGGAATAGCTTTCTTCACTGCTGTCCAGGAAGCTAAGTCTGTAGGGCACAGGGTGCTCAGCCGAGCCATTCTGTTATATCATTTCATGGTGCACACCTTCTCTATTATTTAGAAATGGACGAATCCCTCCTGTTTATTGCTTTCTTCCTTTGAAGAATGGAAAATTCCATTAAACCACGACTGTGATGTTTGAGAACACTGCCATGGGAGGGTTGGCTTGGAAATTATCCCACATGTGATGGCTGATACAGCCATGGGTCTCTCTAAGATAAGTATCTCTCTGCCAGCCAGGTTTGTTCATTAGTCTGGTAGGTACAATCACAAAACTCACACAGATTGCCTTCCTTTATAAGCCAGTCCTTCTCAGTCACCAGCTGTGTCCTTTATATTATAGCTTGGCAGAGACCAAGGAGAAGTAAATTTAGGCCAATCAGTTTAACATCCCAACCAAAGACTGTGCCCAGTCTAATTATATACATAACATATACTCAGAGTCTCTGTCAGTGTAAGATATTATGGTTTCAAACCTCCAGATGTAAAACTATCCTCTCTCACCTTAAAGTGAGACCACAGCACCTATGATTAATGTAACCAATAACTGAATATTTCCAGGAAAAGTATAATCAAATGTAGGACATTGCTTTGCATAACTAACTCTTTGCTCTGTTGCTTTTCAATAGAATACTTTCTAAAGATGATTTGCTTCTACCAGTGGAAATGAAATTAGTGTTATACTAAAGATATCTTTAGTCATAAATGTTTCTATCACCAAGAATACAAAGCACAAATGCAAGATTTTTAAAAAGATTGTATATTAGGGTTCTTGACAGACATTGAACCAATAGGATAGATGTGTCTAGAGAAATACACCTCTCACACAGATATGTAGATTTATTTTAGGAGATTTATTTATGGGATTGTAGAGGATAAATCCAAGATCTTCAGATAAGCTGGTAGTCTGCAGACACAGAATAGTTGATGCTGCTGTTCAAGTCCAAGGGCAGTCTCCTGACAGAATTCCCTCTTCATCAAAGGAGGTCAGTCTTTTTTCTTTTCAGCTTTCAACTGATGGGATGAGGCCTCATTTAGGGAGAGCAATCTGCTTTACCAAATATCTACTGATGTAAATGTTAACCTCATTTGAAAAATACCTACACAGTCAGGTGTGCTGACATATGCCTATAATTCCAGCATTCTAGGAAGCAGACGCAGAAGGATCTCAAGCTCAAGTCAAGCCCGGGCAATTTAGTGACTTAGCAAGACCTTCTCTCACAATTTTAAAAATGGACTGGGAAGGTAGCTCAGTGTGAAAACACAGAGTTCAATTCCCAGTACCACAATCAGTCTGTCAGTCAGTCAGCCCTACACAGATGCATCTAGTAATCTGGATGTTGGCCAGATATCTGGGAACTTTGACCTAGCCAAGTTGATACATAAAATTAACCATCACAGGTCTATCCTTTGTCAACTAGGCATCCGTACATATCTTAAACCTTATTTGATCTCAAGTAAAGACAATAACAAGGTTATACTTCCCCCTTGCATACAGGCAAACATATTCATAAAAAATAAATATTTGTGACAATTGCAGTTCTTTTCTTCTGCAACTGGTCATATAGTCATTGCTGCTATTTATAACTACCTTCTTCCGCTACTCATTCCTATTCCCTTTGCCCTTAGCAAGTACCTCACCTGGTCGTAGCTCTTTTTTTTTTGGCGGGGGTGAATTAAGCAAAACCTTCCTTCCCCCTGCATCTGAGACTTTAGTCCTGCCTGAATGGAGATTTTATTGTAGTTTTCTATTGACTTTAGTTTCAGGACATAGTAACACAGACCCTATACAGTGTTCCTTATATTTCAGAAACACTTGTCCTTACCTCCCTTGTTAGATACAATCATGCCATCACAGTGACTTCCTTTTTGCTGCATGATGCAGAGGCATGAGGAGCCCAGTGAGTGGCCAGATCACTGTTCAGTGAATTATTATTCACTCTCCTGGTAGCTGTGTTCCCCCTTTTCCAACTATGTGTAAAGTCACAGGAACCAAAAGCAAACTTTTTGCTAGTGGATTAGTAAGGATAATTGAGACTGGTGCCACTCCCATTTTTACCCTGTGAGTCTTAGTTCTGTGAATCCTGATTATGGGAGAAACTATACCATATACTGGACACTGATACACAGCATGTTCATCTTCCTGGTGAACCTTGCCCCAGACTCAAAAAATTGCCATCATAGATTCCAAAAAGACACTAGAGTTTCTAAACAGAGAGGTACTAACTGATGGTTGAGATTTGCAATTTTTAAAAGTGTTCCTTCCTCATATTTGTTACTCTAAGTAACTACATAGGTAGAGAACTACAGCCTGTGGGTCACATCTGGTCTACCATGTGATTCTGGAAATGAAGTTTTATTGCAACACAGCCATACTTACTCATTGAAGTGTTGTCTGTGGCTGCTTTGGATGACAACAGTGGAGTTTCATAGTTGCAACAGAGGCCCACAAAGCCGAGATATGATCTTCCTCCTTTCCAGAAAAAGTTTTTCAACCCCTGCTGTAAGTGATATCCTGATTGACCAGGTGATAGGGTAATCTGATTTATTCTAGCCCCAAAGTAATGAATTGAACAAACATAAACCATGGGGAGGTTACTTCCCGGTATATAGTGCCTTCCAGGTAGCCAAATAACCTTAAGAACTAGCAGCAACACAACAGAAAAGTAAGCTTATCTCAAATTTTTAAATTCAAAAATTTTAAATTTAAAGTTGTGTCAGGCTTAATTTCATCTTTCTAAAAGCACCACGAAGTAGGTATTACTGTTGTAAGTATTTTACAGATAAGGAAATCGAGGTTTAAAGAACCTGAGATATCAGCAAATTGGGAGGTTAAGCATTCCATAAGTATGGCAGAGAACATGAGTAAAAAAAAGGAGATGAAGTCCTGTGAGTGTAGAGAGGGCCAAGCAGACTTTACTGAGGAGATCAAGGAAGCCTTCTGGTGGGTGTGGGGGACTTTTCAATGGCAATTGAAAACTAGGTAAGATACCAGTAATTATAAAGTGAGAGTAGAAAACAATAGACAAAAGCATAGCAGTAAGAAAAGATGGTTTTGATCAAGGATGAAGAAGAGAGTTTGGGTTTCTGTAGTCAGAGGAGCTCATAGAAGAGTTTTAAGGGTAGAAAAAATCTCAAGGAAAATAATGCCAGACCTCAAATGCAAGAATGAACCATCGAAGTATAGTGTTGATGAGTACAGGTTCAGTAGCCCTTATATAGAGTGCTTGGGGCTAGATATATTTTGTAGTTTGGAGATTGTGGAATATTTGTGAAGAGTTTACTAGTTAAGCATCCCTAATCTGAAAATTTGAAATGCTCAAAGAGTTTCAGAGTTCAGATTTTCAGATTAGGTATGTTCAACCTATAGAGAGCTTAGAGTTTTTGGAGCAAGGGGTGATATACACAGCACTAGGCCATTAGGAAAGGTAGTCAGAAAGTGTTATGAAGAATGGCATTTAAAGGTGAAAAATCTTGGGATGAGGTTCTTGTGTAGGTGGGAAAGTCTGAAGATCTGAGTTAGAATGCTGCCAAAAGAAATAAGACAAAAAAGCATAGAAAATAGATACATTTCAAAGATAAATGCTATGTGGACAGAAAGTTGATAGCCCCTTAGAAAAACAGCATAAAAAAATGGAGGGCTGAATAAATTCATTAACTTTTCTTCCTCCAGAAACCCTTAAAAAGAAAAAAATAAATAAAAGGATTATGCCACAAAGTCAAGAAAAAAGGAAGAGGAAATAATAAGAACAAAACCTTGGAAGCTGGAAAATGGATTGGGAGGTGGTAAATACTTAGCGAAATGGGAAGGATAAGAGCTTGGCCAGTACAAGGGAGAACTAAGAAGCTGCTGAGTCTATACCAAATAAAAAACTAAACCAAAACAAAAAAAGAGAAATGGAAGTGAAATGGTATCAAACCAGAAGGATTGACCGATAATCTAAGAAAAGGTTGTACTCTCAGGTCTTGTCCTGTACACAACATAGCCAAAATATTGCCCATCCACAACCAAGCAGAAGATACAATCCTCCAAGGGGTACAGTAGAGGCTCTCAAGATTCAGGGAGGACAGTCAGGAATGAAAGTAAGGGTCTGACACTGAAAATGGAGGCATTCAGTAAATGCTTGCATACTGAATGTCCAAACACTCAGCCTTCTCCCTTCCCTTGAGTTCTAGATGACTTACTTTCTCAGGAAAGGATTTGTACATGTCCCTGCACACACTAGGCAACCCAAGAAAAGGTCTTAACTGACATTGGAACATACCAGCCAGATCACTTATAGTAAAGCTATGTGCAACAAGCTTCTATTGAACTACTTTTAATATTCCATGAATAAACTACATATATTAGAGACATCATATATTATAGGAAAGCATGTAACTCTTATTACAGCACCTAATAGACTGGCAACTGGCAAGAAAAAATATGGTTGCCAAAGTTTCATGTCATAAAGTAACTCAGGGAAGTACTCTGGGTGAATTTGAAGCTAATAGAGAAAGATCAGTAACTGACACCCCGGAAATATGTAAGGTAATCTCTTAATTCCAAGGAAGTTCAAAAGGTCTCTAAGAAAGGATAAGTCATTAGAGTATACTTCTACACTCAGTGAAGAATAGCTTTTATGTTGTCATGGTAATACAAATGCTAAAGATTTAGTGAACTAAAATTTTAACAAAATGATTGGCCAGATGGAGGGAAGAGAAAGTGTGGAGTGCTTAGAGGGTTGAGGATGGGAAACAGTGCAAAAGCTAAAATGCATCTTCCTCATAGCTGGAAACCAACAGAGTGCTTAAATTAACAGAAAAGCAATGCAAGCTGACTATTTAGAGATGTGGAGGAGAATGTGAAAGCAATCAGCTAAAAGAGTTAGAAGAAGAGGCCAAGGGAAGCAGGGATGGAAGGGGAGACGGGGAACCACAGCTCCTCGAAGCAAGACTTGTTGGGCACCACAATCAACACAGGTACTTGGCCTCTCTGCCTTTCCCCTCTTTTCCCTGGCTTAGTGATGGTGATAGCAGAACAAGGTAGCTCCTTGCTGGCCATGCGAAGCCCTTGCTCTTGAGCAAAAGGAGCACAGAATTTGGTTGGCTAGAGCTGTCTTAGTTAAGGATAACATTTAACTAGAGATAGTTTGTGAGGTTGATCCATAGAGGCAAAGCAGGCCTAGAATCATGCTGACGGGAAGGACTAGTTAGCCAGGGCAGTTTTCCAGATCATTGTGAGAATGGCATGATTCTGTCATAGCAACCTCATCTGTATCCATGCCTGACAGCCCACCTGTTTACCTTCATGTGCTGTACAGCAGACCCAGGCTCCCTTTGTGTCCAAGGAGAGTTTATCTGTCAGCAGCTGGGGAGATAATCCAGTGATTAATGAGATGCTGGGTCTGCTTTGGGAGCAAATGCTCAGCCTGAGCTATTAGAGCTAGAGTCCCTTCAGAGGCTCATTAAATGTTAGTTCACAGGAACTGAGAAGAGCAGATGCCCTACTTCTTTACAAATACAGCACCCACCCCAATGTGCACAGACTTTGCGCTAGCACGAGATCTCTAGCTATTTTAATTTATTCAACCCCTTCTCAACATTCCTAATCAACTCCCTGTGTGCAAACCTACAGTATTCTACTCAGAACACCATGTCTCTGCTGATGCTCTCATATTTCTCTGAGTCTACCTGACTTCTAGCCCTTGCTCTTACATTTTGATACCAGTGCTAATCATTAGGGATAACTTTCTTCTGCTGGAAGGAACTGTATGTCCTGTGTGAAAAAGACAAAACAGGCCCCCGGGAAATACTGCAGAGCCTGCGGACTAAATCATCTTTTTTTTCAAAGGACAGGACGATGAGGTGACCAAAGGAACAAAAGCACTAGTGGTGTTTGCTTTTAACCACCCAGACACTGTACATCAAGGTACCATTACAGTACTTGCAGAAGCTGCCACATGGCTTGAAAGAGTTAACTGGAGTTGTTCGTACTTCATATTGATCTTGAGCAGGGTACAGCTCAGAAAGTCTGTTCTAGGCCAGGGCTGAGTTAAGCGACTCCTCTGGTTGATGTGAGTTCACACTTTTATTTTTCAGATTATGATGTTTGTGCCGAGGCTCCCTGTGAACAGCAGTGCACAGATAACTTTGGTCGAGTACTGTGTACTTGTTACCCAGGATACCGATATGACCGGGAAAGACACCGAAAGCGGGAGAAGCCATACTGCCTGGGTGTGTTGGCAATGCATGTTATTTTTCAGCTCCTGAGAACAAGCTTTGTTCAGATAGCTCTGTCCTTTGTTGGGCTTTCTCCATGGGCAGGAGTAGCTCAGAGGAGGGGCTCTCATCTTTGATTCCTCCCTTTGCATCCTCACATTTATTACATGGAATTGTGTTTAGGTACAGATCACTCACTGCCTTTCATCCATAGTTAATCAAACTGCATCCAAAGAATTTGTTAGGGAGCTGGTAAGGCTAAAGCCTAACTGGAAGTGAGTTACAACAGCTGGAAAAAGGGAACATTGCCAAATGTAGACCAGAATAGTGTAAAACAGAATGTAACTAGTCAGAAAGGCAAAAACACAGAACAAAAGGAGACTAAGCATTCTCAGAAGATGACTGGGAAAACGGAAGTGTCCCTGTGTTGCAGGCAGGTTGGAAGCAATTCAGAGAAAGCTGAAGCCAGCCACCTGGGCTACAGCTGAGCAAACAGCCCAGCCACCATCAGTGGCCACCAGCTTGTCCCCTTTATCCTATTGACTGGACTTTCTCACTGGACACTTGTTGAGTTTCTCAGGCAGGTTTAGGGCTTGTTGCCCCTAGCAATCATGTTTCAGAGTCTGGTCAGGCTGTGGCTAACCTTTATCAGAAGCAAGTTTAGGCCTGCTTCAAAAAAAAAAAGTTTAAAAATCCTAGCCTCATTAGCTCTGAAGGTAGGCTTGGGGATGTGCATTTTCACAAATGTCTAATAATTTGTGTGCTCTATGAGTTCTGCTGAATAATGGAGCCACATGAGAAATAAGGCAATGAGCAACTTTCTTGCTCTGGCTTAGGGAAAGCCATTTAATTGAAAATCTAATCAAAAGTCCCCTGATTTTCCCCAGCAGCATCTGGGAATGGCGCCTCGCACTGACAAAGAATGGAACTGAGACTGTTGAGTGATGGAAACAGGATCCCCAGCTCGTTCTACGGAGAGCATGGCCTCCGCCACATGAGAAATAAGGCAATGAGCAACTTTCTTGCTCTGGCTTAGGGAAAGCCATTTAATTGAAAATCTAATCAAAAGTCCCCTGATTTTCCCCAGCAGCATCTGGGAATGGCGCCTCGCACTGACAAAGAATGGAACTGAGACTGTTGAGTGATGGAAACAGGATCCCCAGCTCGTTCTACGGAGAGCATGGCCTCCGTTTGAGGCATAGGCTCTTGGTTGTGCCTCGCACTGACAAAGAATGAAACTGAGACTGTTGAGTGATGGAAACAGGATCCCCAGCTCGTTCTACGGAGAGCATGGCCTCAGTTTGAGGCATAGGGGCTCTTGGTTGAATTCATGGTAGCTGCCAGGCTGTATTCTTTTCATTTGGAGGTTTGAGGAGAAGCAGAACTTCCATTCTGTTAAGAAAAATGTCCCCTCTCAGGCAGCCTCACAGTACAGTTTAGGCAGGGATACCTGGAGACAGCCTGAGGAAGTGGAGGAAGATCAAGCCAGGGGATCTCCAGGCTATGGTGGTATAGTATGGACTGCCAGGGGAATGCCCAAATGACCACACTCTCCTTGGCATACTTGCATCCTGCCAGAGCCGAGTCCTTGGCAGGTTGTCCACGGAGCAGCTGGGGAGGCTTTGGCATCAGAAAGTTCAGGGCTGGGCTCCATCTGCCCACCACATGTACACAGTCTGGGGCTGCGTATCCTGGTTCCTATTCATTGCAACTCAGCATCTTCAGGCAGCGAACAGGAAATGAACTCAGGCCTCACTTTTGCCATGACGTGAAACATTTTTCTTTTCACCCCATGTAGCAGGGGAACAAGTCTGTGACGTGTACAGTTAACAGGGACTCTCTCTGGTGGCTTGTTTGATGATCCCATGGATCATTTCCACAGCACACAAGGGGTTTGTCCGGGTCATGATGAGGCAGACATCCTGGAGCAACCCCTCTCCCTTAGGTCCATCATGACTATTTTCTTTTATTAGAAGCAGCTTTTCCCAGGTACTGTTGTATCTCTTCACTAGTAAGGAGCCATTCCTAAGTGACCTTTGGGTCAGCATCGTGGTGTTTGGAACCTACAGCCATAAGGGAGACATAAGCCTCAGCACACCAGGCTGCTTGCAAGAAGTCACCAATTTAAGGTCTGCTTCTCAAGGTGCCTTTCCGTCAGTTATTTCATTCTCTCCTCAGAGGAGCCCTGAGCAGTACTTAGGGCAGGCTGCATCATCGCTGTTTTCCAGGTGAGCTCTCTGAAGACTAGCAAAGCCCACAGAGAGCCGCAGGACAGCCAGGGTCACCTGCCCACCATGTCTCTTAATGACAGCCCCACAGCCACGGTGCTGATGTCATGACGGCTCACATTTCCCGCACCTGACTTTATTCCAGGCTTCTCTGGTCAACATCTGACAGTGTCCTTTGCAGATATTAGCAGTGTGGCCAAGCCTAATGTCAACTGTTGGATTTGAAGTGACTTCTGTGAAACTGAGTGTTCTCTGCATTGGGTTCAATCCAGACATTGATGAGTGTGCCACCAGCAACCAGACCCTGTGTGCACACGTCTGCATCAACACTGTGGGCAGCTTCCGCTGTGCGTGCCGGGAGGGCTACATCCTCATGGAGGATGGGAAGACGTGCACCAGGGGTGACAAATACCCCAACGACACTGGTGAGTGGGGCAAGCGTAAATACCCCCAACTGTGTACATTCATGTTACATATTGTTTATTTTCAGTTCAGAGGTGTATATATTATACACATGTATAGTTTTATCTATAATTATAATGTTTTACTTTATGTTAGATAAGTGTAATGCTTATTGTTATATGCAATACATTTATACATGCAATATATTTTGTATATTATATAAGGTTTTCAAGTATCTATAATTATGTATAATAGTCTATTATATATGTAGTAATTGTATATTATTTAGTGTTATATATGTTACATACACTATGTTATATACTATGCATTACGTGTAACATATATGTTATCTATAGGCATTTGGGAGCCCAACAAGGATCAAAAAAGGGTGAGAAGGAAGAGTTGTACTCATGGTGGGTAGAACCTGGTGGTGAGAGGATATAAGAACAAAATAAAAGCAATGCCCGATCACTTCAAGGGTTCTGAGCTGGTGTGGGATGGAAGAAGACAGTGTGTTTGTGGCAAAATTGGGAGATTTGGGTTATTGTTTAGAGCAAATTACACTGAGTAGAGAAGAGGCCAGAAGCACTGTGTTCTGTAAAAGAAAACGGGCTGAAATATAAATATGAATATTTCCATGTAAGTCCTCTCTCTGCATCAGCACTACTGTTCTATGCCTATGAACTATTTAGTTAATTCATGATTGGATAAAAGCAGAAATTGTGTGTATTTAGAAATTTCTACACCAATTTGAGAGGAATTTTATTTGAATCCAAAAATTTATGCTTGTGTTTTATTTCTAATTTTTTTAAACAGTTCATTTTGTATTGGGGGAAAGTATTGGTTCACAATTAGCTGAAAAATTTCTAGCACTGGTCCTCAACACAGAGTTGAGAAGCTGATCTACATCCCGTCAATGAGCTTCAGCTGAGACGTCTTCAGCTGGTTGCTCATGCAGTCTGTCTCAGTGCTGGTTACATTTTTTTTTTTTTTCAGTTTGGGTTTAAAACATAATGAGGGAGAAAAGCAGAGCCCCAAAAGCTGATGCCAAAAGTTCCATAAGTTCCTTGGGAGGCAAACCATCACCTTGTTGAGAACCAACTCCAATCTCTCTGCCAAGATAGAAGTGCCTGCCTGGTCATCAAAATTTAGGATTTTGGCCTTTGTGGACCAATATGAAGGGTCTTCCAGCCAGAATGAACTTTGAAGCAAAATAGTCTCTATTGATCATGGCTGGCAGATAAATTCTCTGAGAAGAAAGTCCTTAGCCACTGAGAGAGCCTGAGGCCAGGTCCCATATGACCGTAGGCCCCTAAACCCCCCACTGAAGGCCAGGAAGCTCATGTGGTCTCCTAGGCTCAGGGCTCAGAGGGTGTCACACTTCTCTCAGGAGGGGAAAATATCTTGGGCACTGTGAGGAGAGGATAGCTGGGGCAAGCCATCTTGTGGAGGAGCAGTTTCTTAGGACAAATCACATGAACGAAAAAATTCAGGGAGATGAAAAAGTCAGAATTGTCTAGACACTCATGAGATGGAGCCCCACCTTCAGAAAAGGTGGAAATCAGCTGGAGACCAGCTGCCTCATAATGGAAAGATAGAAAGTAAAATTCAAAAGAGTAAAGTCAGAATTGTCTAGACACTCATGAGATGGAGCCCCACCTTCAGAAAAGGTGGAAATCAGCGCTCAGCTGGAGACCAGCTGCCTCATAATGGAAAGATAGAAAGTAAAATTCAAAAGAATAACTACATTGAGGCATTCGAAGGCTGCCTTATGTTAGAAGTAAATGCAGAATAGCTATTTAGAGCCAACTCAGGACTGGGCAGTTGGGGATCCTGTGAATAAACTAGTGGGCTGGGCTTGGGGACACATTGGAAGTTGGGAGCATGTGAAGCCTATCCACCCAGAGTGATCCTAAAGCAAGGGTCCATGGTCTCTGGAGAAAAAGGGGTGACTGAGAAAAAATAATGTTTACTAACTGTGGGTTTTTAAATTCAAAATTAAAGTGACAGTAGGTTGTCTTTCAGGCAGAGAAGATGAGAGACAAGCAACGATATGTATCTTAGATTGTATCTCTTATTGAAAGGAACACTCTCATTGAAGAATTAGGCACAGCTTCTTAGCTATTGATCTGTTAACTTATGAGCCTATTTGAGAATTAGTCATAAGTAAGCAGAATTCTAATTTTTCACTTTGGAATTGAATTTCCATTTGCCTGTGCTGGGTGGGCTACAGTGTGTCCAACTAAGCAAGTCTATACATTGTATGTTTGCTTCCCCTTTATGTGCTGGTGGAATCCCCTTTGTGGGTATAAAAGGAGAGCGGAGCAATCCGACTCAGAGCATAACCATCAGGAATAGCAACAACAAACCCTTGCGGCTGAGTATCAGCGCAGGAGTCCATGCTGAGGGTGTAAAAATAATAGGACCTGGCCCCTTCCACGGGAAACCCCTGCCTAGTGGGGTGGAATGGTCTGCAGCAAGAACAGACCATAACTAGCAGCAACCAGAGAAGCCAAATAGAATTCCAGAGACTAATGCAAGACTATCTGCTGAGTTTGCTTGTTCTGGGTCTCAGGTGGCCTCCACCTCCTGTAGTAATTCTTTGCTTGACCATATTTCTCTTCAGTTCCCAGAGCAGTAGCCTCATACAATCTCCCTGTCATGTGTTACCCTACTGGTGGCTCCAAATCAGAGTGCAGTGACAAGGCAAGGTCTGGCTTGTGAAAGGCACTCCCATGTCCCTACCATCAGAAGAGTGGGCCCAGCCAGGGTGAAGGAGAAAAGGTATGGTGGTCTCATTTCATCTTTAGAATTAGCAAAGAGATTAATGTGTGAAGTCATTAAGAGAAACTCACTCATCTGCTTTATTCCCTGAGAAACACATTATACTTCTTTAAAACTTTGCAAAGATTTTTCTAAAGAGTGCAAAGAGGTCGACATGACCAATTTGACTTGGTTAGCTTGGCTGATAATTCAGTGAAAAATCTGGATAGCAGTATTATAAGGAATATATATCTGCACCCTTTTTTGTACCTTCCATAATGTTACACTTAAAGATACCTTTTATTTCAGCCAATTGTCACAGCATTTCCCCATATTATATCCTGCAGTACTTGGGGGGCCTGTGTGGTGTTAATAAATATTCCTATCCTACAGTCTTGTACTCAGACATTTGAGGAAGTGTGCATTACTGCACCCACATTTTCAGGATTCACAGTTCAAGGCTCTAAAAGCTCAAAGAAATTGACATTAAAAAAGAAAATACAGTTAACTTTGATAAACTTGAACTGCACAAAATCTTCACAGAAACCTAATAAACATCTCTCAGGTGATAGTGGCCTAAAAACAATAAATTAGAAAAAAATGTGGGTCAAAAATCTTAGCTCTGGGTCCAAACTTGCTAGGTTTTCTTTGACTCACAGATGAGGATCTTGTCACCAGCAGATGGAACAGCCAAAGTCCAATGGGGAATGATTTACTGTAGAGTACCCAGCATCTAATTTATAAGAACAGGGCAGTACCCCCAATTCTGCCATGTTTAGAGAAACGTGGTTCCTGTCACAGTGACATAAATAGCAAATAGTCTTCTGCTTAATCTAATAAGAACTGTTGATTGGTTATGCCACTGGACCTTATTATATAACACAAAGCTGTTGGAAATATTAGGCTGGGGGATCATTCCTCTTTCCCTTCCTTCCTATTCCTCTTCCTCCTCCTTCAAATAGGAAATTTCAAAGAGGAAAAAATTAAAAAAAAAAAACTGATATAACACCAGTGTCTACTATATCATATTTCCCCAAAAGCAGCCTTACAAAAGAATTTCTCAGTATTTAATTTTTAGTAAGTATTCTGCACTGAGCTTCTCACCTATGTACAAAGAACTGGTATTTAGTTTTATTGTTTACTAAGAAAAGCATCTGGAGGTGTGTGATGCTATTGTTATCACCTATTACTACTTTAGCCAAGGTGACACAATTGTTCTAATCAGTTGTTCTTCCTTGTATGCCAAAACCGAGATTGCCTGAGGGTCATAAACAATACTATAGGCCAATGCCAAAGAATTAGGGGGTGGGCCAAATAGGTGGCAGTTTCTCATTCTCTATAAATTGAAGAGGTAGGATCTTGCAGCAGACTCAAAACCCCAAAAGCCAGCTATACCTGGAAGACATCTCTGAGAAGTAGTCATTTCCTAAGTGATCTTTATACTAGCAATAAAGCTACTTACCACAAATAATTTACAAGCATCAACGAAGGAATTAAACTAAAATATATATTTATTAAATGAGACAAGATGAAATTAAGTTGCAACCCCAGACTTCCAGTTTACCAGAGGCAAACCCAGGAGACAGTGAGGTGGAACAATTTGAAAGCCGCCCATTTGGATTCTTTGAAGTGATAACAGCAGAAGTAACAAATAAGATCAATGAGGCTCTAGAAAAGGTCAAATCAGTAATAATTTTTCAGATAACTATAGATATGGTGACCATAATGACAGACATGGTTAGTGGATCTAGAGAAGATACAGATAAAAAAATAAAGGAGCTTAGGAAAATTATGGAAGCCAATAATTCCCAATACAGGAAAGAATCCACGATTCAGTCAGATATCCAGGCAATTAAAAATTCTGTTGAACCCAGGAAGCAGCAGTGTGGTCCAGACCAGTGTAGCTGCAGGCAGATCCCAGCCAGGGATCCACCCCGACCCCAGAGGCTGGGGCAAACCTGCCCAGCCTAGGCCCACACAGGAAAGAGCTGCACAGATGCACAAGCTTCAATCAGAGGCCTCCCCCATAGCACCTGTGGTTTGCACCCAGGACTTGGTGTACTGGTAAGCAATAGAGAAAAGGTCTTTTGGTGGCTTTGTGATAATTGAAGAACACTGGGTGAGCAAAAATTTGTCTCAATAAAGCACCGCAGGCTTTATTTGTTGAAATGAGAAGACACAGAAACAAGTCCCAAAACCAGACTTCCAGATCACCTAAGGCAACCCCAAAGGGAAATCAGATGGAACAATATGATACTCA